ATAGTATTAATCACCTCAAGTGCCTACCATTGATACATAATCAAATACACAACAGAATAACTTGGTACAACAACCCTAAAGTCATGCATCCACCACAACAACCCCATTTGTTACAAATTCGCATTACAACAAGCAGATCTTTATGCATTTAAAACCCACTATTTGGATAAATCACATTTTCCTCCATTATCATTTAAATCCAATATATGATAACATGTTTTATGGAGATTTACAGTTTTATTAAGGCCAGTGGAGGGGCTGTGCTGTCTGGAGCGCACCTACAGAACATCTAGAAAAGCAAGTTTTTGACTGCTTTCTCACAAAGTTGTGGTGGAAAAGTTGTATTTCACAACCTAACGAGCTAAGTAGGGTGTCTGCAAAGAAGCTCAAGTCTGAGTTCTTGAAAATAATAACAAATTGTAATAGCAACCACATTTTCTCAAACAACAGTTTCATCTGCAACGATTTCATAGTTGCTTCTTTAAATAGTTGTAACTACCCCAAACTAACCCCAAATCCTCATTGAGTTGAATCCTACATGTAGCCAAACAGCTCCATATATAGTACAAAAAAGTTAACATAATAGAATTCAGTAAACTGCATGGTGAAATTAGCATGGTGATAGAATATTACAATACATGAAATAGCATATTTCACAATTAAAAAGTAAGTAATAGTTATATTTTAATGTGATATTAAAAATTTTAGTGTAATGTATGTAAATATGAACGTTTAAGTGTTAGATGTATAAGTACATGAGAATTGGGTGGTATGCAAGTAAATGCCAATTTGTTTACCAAACATGGGATCCGCAATTGTGAGAAAATGGTAAATAAAACATATCTAATCAACTAGACAACTAGCTTTCACTCCAACATCTGACCAAGCCCTACAAGGCTAAAATTGTTTTTGATTGCACCAGTTGCATTAAAAGGCCATCCTTGATGCCTCGCCGATACAACAAAAGTGGAAGGAGCAAAACAACGCTTCTCAATACATAAGATGTTGATTTTAACAATGAAATTAAAATATATGCATATTTCTCTCTATGATTCCATTCATAAACTCAATGAAAATCTGAAAATATACACATGATTGACATAAGGTTTTCATTCTTCGATTAATTGGTTATTTCTTCAAATGAAACAAATAAATAAAAATTAGTTATTCACATTTCCTCCTCAACCAAACAGATGGTTGAAAACTAATTTTATGTAAACTTCCACTTGTTCTATTTCTATTTCATTTGTGTTTCGTCTCATTCAATTCCTTCAACAAAACTATGCCATTGGAAAAGTTGGTGGAAGAAAGCCACAATCATTCAAAAATGATTGATAACCTGATCAAATTCTAGCCATGTTCATGACCTCCATGGGGATGTAAAACAAAATTCCAATTCCAACAACATCCCACAAATGAGCCACCCAAAACCCCATGTGAATAAAAACTCTAATACTTTGCAAACCGATTTTCCTTTCAGTCTAAGCGGTACTTTTCTATCACAAAATAGGCTTGAAGCATTCCTCCACATCAACCAAACAACTTGAATTCTACTAATAACATCCCATATCACCATCACTTTGAACAATAGACCCGAGATATTTAAAGCGTTCATACCTTTTAATAATTTGATCACCCATAGTAACATTTTTGTCACTAGAACTACTACTACTAAAATTACATTCCATGTATTCACTTTTAATTCTACTCAAACGAAGGCCTTTAGACACCAAGGTAGACCTCCATAATTCAAGTTTTTTCCATAGCTTTCTCTCTAGTCTCATCCACGAGAAGGATATCATCAGCAAAAAGCATACACCAAGGTAAATCCTCCAATAAGTGTCCAGCGAGACCATCCATAACTAAAGCAAAAAGATATGGGCTTAAAGCCGATCCCTGATGTAAACCAACAGAAATAGGAAAATATTTAGTCAAGCCTCCTTCGGTTCGAACAAAAGTAACAGTTCTTCATACATATCTTTAATGACTTAAATATAAGTCATATCAACAACTTTTAATTCTTCAAGTACAAAATTTGCCACTTGTTTAATAGTATTTGTTACTTTATCCCAAATAGAATTTGCATCTTCATGAACATCCTAAATTTTAAAATCTTGAATTTTACTCATAAAAATAAATTTATTTGTATTTTAGGTACCATATCTAATTCTAAGACAATGATTCCTAGTATTCTTTAATTTACAACTCTTTATCTTAAAATCTAGAACTAATAATCAATGTTGAGTACTTAAATCCTCACTTGGAATAACCTTACAATCTTTACATTCTTGAAGACCTCTTCTTCTCAAAAGAAAATAATCAATTTGTGTTTTATTAAATCCATTCTTATAATAAATAATGTGCTCATCTCTTTTCTTGAATAAAACACTAGCAATAACAAAATCACATGCTAAAGAAAAATCAAATATAGCTCAACTTCTTCATTAATCACTCCAAAGTCATTGCCACCATGAATATTTCTAAAATCTTCTACCACTCTACCGACATACTCTACCGACATGTCCCTTCAAATCTCCCCCAATAAAAATTCTTTCTTCAAGAGGTATCATGTGTATTAAGTTTTCTAAGTCATTCCAGAATTTATCTTTAGAACCAATATCTAAACCTACTTGAGGAGCATAAGCACTTATAATATTAAAAATCTTAGAATCAACAATAGTCTTAAGGGCTATAATTCTATCTACAACTCTATTAATTTTTACAACAAATTCTCTAATACATAACCATAAAAAAACGCATGATCATGGAAAAAACGCATGAGCATGGAAAACAAGTAAAAGGTTTGTGCAATGATAGGATACAATGATTCTCAGAAATTACACAGGAAAAGAATCCTCCCGCATTTCGTCGGTACAAATTATAGTAATGGTTGCAGCACCGCAGCAGTACCCTGTTAATATACAAGCTGCAATGATAGGATACGATGATTCTCAGAAATTACATAGGAAAAGAATCCTCCCGCATTTCATCGGTACAAATTATAGTAATGGTTGCAGCACCACAGCAGTACCCTGTTAATATACAAGATTAAATTTGGAAGCCACACCAACCACACCGGAGGAAAAAGAGTATTTGTTAGCATACAAGTCCATACTTCCCACTACCACATAAAAAAGTTAAATAGGACCCAAAGCTATATGAATGGAGGTTACATCAAAATACAAAATTCCCTGGTGTTTACATATCTAACACCTAAATTTTAATATTTGCAAAAAAAAAAAGTAATCAAATAATTGGCAGACTCAAAAAGCAAATTCACATTCTTCAATAGCCCCAAAAGGCGAAGAGCCCACAATCACATAAAAAAGTTAAAAAGAGCCCGGAGCTACATGAAAGGAAGGCCATTTACATACATACCACAAAATCCCTTGGTGTTTACGTATGTAACATGTTAATTTTTTATATTTGTAAGAAAAGTATTCAGATAATTGGCAGCCCCAAGAGGCAAATTCAGACATTCTTCAATAGCCCCAGAAGACGAAGGCAAACACATATATGCTTGCATTCATTTAACACATGTAATTACTGAAACCCTCTTCCCTCTTCTTCACCCACTTCTATCTTCTACCAAAAACCCTCGTCTTTCAACCCTTGACACTCCACGTCAAAACCGTATAAGTAAAAGAAGCAAAGTAGCCATGAGAGCTTGTTGGTGAAAGCATCAACCAGTATTCTTTCAATTAGACTAAAATCCTCGAACCCTTCAGGTCACAGATTCATGCCAAAAAAAAAAGTAAAATAAAAGATGAAAAAAAAACAAAAAGTGAGACCAAACTGCCAAGGACAAATATAGAATAGTTTCCTAGAAGGAGCCCAAGGTAATCATCTAAACGAGAAAAGGCCACAATCGTGCCAAAATATCAAATTCAAGATAAGTAGTCAATATTGCCACAGATCCCTATGCATGAATCCCAGTGGTAATGGCAGCAATGGTTGCCTAAATAATACCTTGGTCATCTACACTTTTTCCATTCATTCACAAATTTTATTTATTTTTTTCTTTTAGTTTTGTTCTTTCTTTTATTTTTAAAAATAAGTTTGCTTAGTGTATTTTTTACATATTTTTACATGAAATTTCTGAAAACAAATTAACATCTTTTTGAAACCACTTAAACAACATTTAAGCATTTTGAGTGTTTTAAGAAAGAATCATATCTTAATCAAATAAGCCAAACATGTTTTGCTTCAAATTAAAACGAAAACAAAACAAAATAAAAATAAAAATAAATATTAAAAATGATCCCAAACAGCCCATATGAAAATTTAAGAAAAGTACATCCTTCCAAAAATAAAGCAAGAAGAGCAAGAAAAAAAAAAAAAAAAAAAAAAAAAAAAACAGGGCTCAAATTAAACTTGAATCCATAAAATAAACATGTTCATAAGTCTTCCACAGATAGTCATAAACGTCCTTCGCAATGGCAGCACTGGTTACCCAAGAATCTTTAGGTCATCCTAAGATGCCACAACATCGCCACAGGAAACATGAAAATATCCATGATACTCTGGTGCACATGACGGCAACCCTATAATTCATCATCGCCCATATATATTCTTAATCATAAATGAAGCAAAACTGCAGCGCACAAGTGCAAATTGTGTATGTCACAAATCCAGATAAATGAAACATTATTAGGTCCCACAAAATTGCATTTCTAGGCGGAGATTAAGGTAGACAACAGAAATAGCAAAACCTTAGGCATTGCAGCCTAAGAAATGATTACTAGGAATCAAATGTTGCCAACAAATACATAAGTCATAATTTCCCAGATATATGCATTAAGAAACATATCAAGTCAAATTGACAGGCGTACACAAAAATATAGGGAAATTTACAAACAAATCACACAATTCGTACACAAAAATATAGGGAAATTTACAAACAAATCACACAATTCTTACCTATTTACAAATCAAACACCTAAAGTTTGATATTTATACTTGTTTTAGAAATGGATCCACAATTGTTTTAGCAAGGAAATCCTGTGTTAATTATTCTTTGTATTATAGAAATGGAGATTCAGATCCTCTCAAATTATCAGCCGCAAGAAAGAGAGCAAATTATTGTCTACATTCATCAGAAAAATAAAAGCATTGGTTGACTGATAATTTTTGGGCCATCCAAAATGCCTACCACTGTAAGATGAGCATAGGAAAGCTTGAGAGTAAAATATCAGTCAAATTGACAATTAACATGACCATTTCTCCAAGAGAAATCTGCATGAATACTTCGAACAAAGCAACGAAATGCTACACTTCAACAAGAAAGAAAAACTTTAGTGTCTGCATATGATGAAAAACAAATTATTGATGTATGCCAACTATCAAGTGAACGATATCAAAAACGTCCTTCAATTAAAATAAACACAGGTCATAAGTCCAAAAAGAATTTCTCATAGGAGGGATGATGGATCATCTCAATACGCATATGTAAACCCAAATTCAAACAATAATTATATTGTGTACTAGAAAATTTTGAATGATAAGAAAATCTTAAACCTTCGCTCAGAGTAATTTTCCAGGACCCACACTTTGGGCGACACCAAATATCTAAAAGAGGAAAACATTTAAATCAGTAACATAAAAACGATTTAGAGAGAGAAATGACAATAGAAAAAATTGCAATGAAAACCATCACCGCCTCTCTGCAGAAATTCATAAAGAACTTCCTTGAAAAGTCAAATAACGGATAGATGGATAAGCCACCATCATCATCACAACCTCTGAGAGAATGATACCAAGCCACCATCATCATCACAACCTCTGAGAGAATGACACCAAAAAGAATGACACCAAAAAAAAAAAAGAAAATTAATAACATGCCACACTATTCTTACTTGTTTACATATCTAACAAAAATATTTTTTAGGAAGATATAAATGCATACCTCTTAATTCCTAAGTATTTACATATTTAACATCTAAACTTCAATTTTCCATGCAAACCATCTTCCCTACGCATGAAAATGTAAATTTCACTTTCAAAAGTTAAACGGGTTATTCTTTAGTTGTCATGAATGATTTGGGTGGTATAGATGTAGAAAGAAAAATTTTGGTGTTAGATATGTTAAATACAAGGAATTGACTGGTACCGTATGTAATGCCAAAAAATTCCATCTCCTGCAAGAACCACAAAACTCCAGCATGCATACAAAAGGGAATTTCTCTACAGGGAGGTGATTAATCACCACATCATCCATGTCTAAACCCAAATTAAAACAGTAAAGTCAAGAAGAATGTTTAGCCCGCGCAATTTCATCGTCCAACACATGATGACAGAATAGTACAAAATGCCAACAAGGAATTCCCTATAAAGAGTCAATAACTTCGGCAACTGAACAGAGCTGCGCATGGAAAAACTCAATAATGCAAGGTCTCATGGTGGCTAGCAAAACATCACAGCATCTAACTTTCCGAAGCTCCTACCAAATTACATCTGACAATACCCACCACAAAATAAATTAGAGCAACAACCCAGTGAGCTCTAAGCATCTAAAACAACACCACCATCGTTACAAATTTGCATCACAAAATGCAAATTAGAGGTGTCAAAAATTGACCAGACACGCAAACTTGGCTCGAATTTGACTCAAAAAATCCAGGCTTGAGTTGGCCCGAATAATTTTCATGTCAACTCCGCAGGTTAACCCGCCAACCCAAAATTAACCTAAACTTAGCAACTAACCCGAAATTGGCTCGAAATTGACCCAAATTTGACATGATTTATACCCGAATAACTGTTATGTCTTAGATTGAGTGGGTTATATAGGTCGGGTGATGAAATTTCTCTGGGTTGCACGGATGTTGATTCATAGAAGTAAGCAGGTGTTGGTCTTTTGCAATTTGAAGGAAATCTTTACATGATTGATAACCTGATAAATGTGTAACCATGATCAAGGCCTCTAAGAGGATGTTAAACAAAATTCCAATTCCAATATTAGTCCTCTTCTATAAGAAAAAAAACCCCATAGTGCACACAAAATCCTATATCCTTATAAATTATTTGAGTGTTATGTATGTAAATATGAGAGTTTTGATGTTAAATATATAAGAAAATATATAATAATTGTGTGGTGTGTACGTCAATGCCCCAAAAAAAAGTGAAAAATGCTTACAAAACCTTGGGTCTGCTGCTTTGAGATAATGGCAACTAAAGCGCACCAGATAAACAAGATAACAAGCTTTCACTCCAATATCTGACCAAGCCCTTGAAGGCTGAAATTGTTTTTGGCTGCACCGGTTACCTTTACAGGTCATCCTTAATGCCTCACTGGTAGAAAATGAGACAAGGACTTCTACGAGCCATCCCCAATGTAAAGAGATCAGATAAAAAGGTATGTTGGAGAAATTCATACAGTTGCATGAATATTAATTAGATTAAATCCCATAAGGTTGCTACAAAGTCTTCACAGATTATCATAAAAGCTGACCGCAAAATTGTTTGGAGATTAGAAAAAAATAGAAAGTGCAATGATATATTTACTAGAGTTGGTACTTGTGTTCCAACATAAAGAGGACTGACCAAGTATTTTAAGTATTTTCCTATTTCAGTTGTTTCCTATTTCAGTTGGATTACATCAGGATCGCTTTAAGACCATATTTTTTGCTTTAGTTATGGATGCTCTTACTAGCATTTATAGAATTTTTTTGCTTTAGTTATGGATGCTCTTACTAGAATTTATAGAAGGATGTACCAGTACCTTGGTGTATGCATTTCGCTGATGATAACCTTTATGTGGATAAGACTATGCTGATATCCTTCTTGTGGATAGGACTAGAGAAAAAGTTCAGAATAAAATTGAATTCTACATTAGAGTCTAAAAGCCTTCGTTTGAGTAGATCTAAAACAGAATACATTGAATGTAATTTTAGTAGTAGTAGCTCTAGTGACAGAGTTGTAAC